GTATATATATATATATATATATACATATATATATATATATATATATATATATATATATATATATATATATATATATATATATATATATATATATATATATATATATATATATATATATATATATATGTCGAACCGCGAATTGGCCGGTTATCCGGTGTGGTCCTATGTGTAAACTCGGAAATGCCTAAAACCCGGGGCAAACACTAAGAACGGGGAAAAACTCTGTTGAACCCACTAAACTGAGAACCGGTCAAAAAACCGGGTTTTGTCGAAAAAGTTAAAAAACAGACAAATTGATAAATGAAAATCGATCTTCTTCTCGATTATGTTTTCATATTGTAAATTTTGATCTAACTTATATGTCTATATATATATTTGTTATTCAAGTGCAGTACTAGAAATGGTTTCTTATACATACGGTAGTGTTTTCAAATGATTATTTAAAAGCCGAAGTTAGTGATTGTGAGTTAAGTCAGTTTTAAGTGTTTATTTATAAAAGTTGGAGGTGTTTGCAAATATTCCGGAAAATGAACTTAAATAGAAAAAGCAAAAGTTGATTTTGCAGACACCTAAAAACAGATTATGAGTAAAAAAGAAACTCATAATCACTTTCAAAAAACGTTTGCAAACACCACCTATAGTAGACCGATACAAATTAATTTACATCTTTTGAAGAATTATACAAAAGGGTTATATAAATAGGAAAAAATGCAAAAACTGTCATAATCGTGCTACAGTAATTATTTATACATGAAACGTTGCAGAGAGAGAGAGAGAGAGAGAGAGAGAGAGAGAGAGAGAGAGAGTAACAATAATACAAAAGTTAGATGTGGTTACGTAATAACCACATTGTGGAAAAAGTGAGCAAAAGTATTTATGCTACGTACATTGAAATTTGAGTAGTTACGTCATATGTAGTTTTATGTAAGAACCAACATCCTCCAACACATTTCAACGATTTTTTTTAACAATTAAATAATTAACTTTATTTTATTTAAGAAATTACTTGTCACGAATTGGCCACATATTCATTTTTTTTTTTAAATAAATAAACAATGGGTTAGACTTTGATGAAATTGACTTACTATTAAGTCATTAAGTAAAGCTAGCGAACTGGTCATGAGTGGTTAAAACTTACATGTATCCTAGATTATTACAACTTTTTGTGTTATTTTTTTTCTTTTTTTTTTTCTTTTTATTTAATTTTGTTTTTCCTCAATGTTCAATTTGTTCAATTTGTTCACACGATCAGATATTGAAAGTTGTATTAATATTTTTTTTGGAGACAATTTGTTTAATATACATAATTTGTCGTGTCTCCAAAAATCAAACTCTACTAATTAATTATGTGAAAATATGTTAGTTTTACTAATTCGGACAACAATTCATAACAATATTTGAGTACGTGATATTTTATTTTTAATTTTTTTCTTCCATATTAGTTATCTGTCACAAATATGTCACTATTAGTTACTATAAGATCATAGTAATTATTTTAAATGGTGTGTCGATACGTATATTATTAGTATCATTTTTTTTATTTATACACTTAGTTTAACAATATATAACGTCTATATATATAATAATATAAATTGATTTTTAAATTAAAAAGAAAAAAAGGAAATTTAATGACTTCCTCAAATTAATTATTTCACCTTCTTTCAAATTGAATATGATAATTCATTATATTTATTTCACCAATTAAAAGTAAAAAAAAGTAAGACTACTTTGCTGTTGACGTGTTGTCAATAACTAGCTAATTTTATGTGATAATTATTTATTTTGTATAAATAGGCCTTCTTCCTCTTCCCATTTTTCGGACTAATCTCTCTCTCTCTCTCTCTCTCTCTCTCTCTCTCTCCTATTTAGTCCAATTTCTACTCCATAGTTTTGAATCTTGATCAAAACAAAAAAAATGAAGGTAAGAAATTGCAATTTTGTTTTTTATTATTACCTTTCGGTTTTTTTTTTCCTTTTTTTTTTAATTTGTTATATTTTGTATGAATATTTTAAATTTGTTAAATTAATCTGTCGAATATTATTTTCAGCAAAAGATTGTTATTAAAATGTCAGTTCATTGTGACAAATGTCGCTCCAAGGCCCTGAAAATCGCTGTTGGCATATCAGGTACAACTACAAGTACAACATAAATAATGCATAACAATATTTAAATTTATTTTTATTATTATAATAATACTTTTATTATTATTAATAATATATTAATAATATTTATTAATTTTGTTTATGGGTGTTGTATGTAGGCGTTGAATCGGTGGCTTTAACGGGTCAAGAAAGGGACCAGGTGGAGGTTGTGGGCGACGGGATCGACTCGGTTGAGTTAACCCGGCGGCTCAGAAAGAACGTGGCGCATGCTGAGTTGGTTAGTGTGGGCGAGTTTAAAAAAGAACAGCCTGCAGCCACCACCGCCGGGTCTCCACCGGTGGTGGGCTGGCTTCCGCCGCCGCCGCCGCCGCCGTATGGTTTCCCTCCCAACAATTATTGTACAGTACTGAGGGACCCAGTCTATGACAACTCCTGCACCATAATGTGATACATACTTGAAGCAATTCTTTCTCCAATTTTCATGTATAGGAAAATAGAAATAAGTAATAATAATTTAAAGAATTAAAAAAATGAATCATTTGAGGTAATATTCATATTAAAATTAAAGTACTTTTTTTTTCCGCTATGATATTTATTGATATAATTAAAGTACATATGTAATAAAAAAAAAGTCAGAGTATTGTAAATATTTTACTATTTGAAGTTAAAATGCTATTTATGCATAATAAGTTAGTTAAGAGATTTGTCATCTTGTTTTTGTATTGTGGTTAATTGCACTCATGGATGGCATAATGTGTACGGGTTTAGTTTCTAGAAACGATGGTTCTGGGTCGGTTTTTGGTGGGTCTTATTAGAACCGACCCGTATAAATATTTTATATTTAATATAAATATACTACTTGAAGTATATACAATCTAAATTTATGTTAACAAATTTCTAGTCAATGAAAAAGTAATTGTAAAATATAAAGGAAAATGTCAATGCATCATTACAAATACTTATATGAACTCGCATTAGAAATTTGTTTCATGCGTGACTTCAAATTCGTACTACGAATCGATTGAAAAGGTGCAATTTTATTTGACGTGCAATATTCGGTTGAATTACAAAATTAATATAACAAGCATATGATCTAATTGAATGTTTAATTACATTATAAATATTTTTATATTAAACTTATGTTATTTATTTATTGAGTCTATAGTTGTCCGGTATATGTATAGGAAGATGATATTTAAGAGAAAAAAAACATTCAATCTATTACTTCTAGTTTGGATATGTAACAAATAACACCCGTTAATTTGGTCGATAAAGCTTCACAAACTATGTGCGAAATTATTCGACAATATAATGGAGGTAATTATGAATCTGTAACACTATATGCATTATTCAGAATATGTAAGCACGAAATTATAATCTCACTATTTAGTAAATTAATTTTTTTACAATTTATGTACTATTTTATAATTCTTACAATCATTATTTGTTTATTTAAATAATTAGTATCCGACTAATATTACTTTCTATTAATATCATATTCTGCATATTTGTGTACAATAGATTTGTTCTTGACAAAACGGATTATGACGTTGCTGCAGACTATGCTGCACGGACACTTCTAGAAGGTGAAGAGTCCCCGTATCCGACACCTGGACACTCGGACACACCCGGACACTTCTCGGACACCCGTGTCGGGCCGTGTCGTAATTTCGCTAAAAGTAGGACACCCGTGTCGGGCAGTGTCTACAATTTTAAAAAGGTTGGGAGACTTCTCTTACGTTTTTAAGAGAGAGCCCTAATAAAAAAAATGGGCATTTTCTTTTCTCAGTAATACACATTTCTTCTGTTTTCTTTGTGAGTCCACCCAAAACTTCAAAAGTTTAGCATGCGACGACGACAAAGAACACGAGCAACAAGGGCGAGCGGTTCTCTTATACGATGACAACTTATGCATATTTTGTACAATTTATAAATGCACCCCTATATTTTTATTATTTATAAATATACCCCTATATTTTTTATATTTACGCGTATCCCTCGCGTGTCCGTATCCTAGTTTTTTGGAAATGCCGTATCACCGTGTCCGTATCCGCGTATCGCCGTGTCCACGTATCCGTGTCCGTGCAACATAGGCTGCAGTTCGTGAAGAACTTCAAACCTATTATTCTTTAATAACCGACGAGCATAATTATTTTTTGGTGCAATCATGAAAGTTGTTACAAATAACAGTGCTGAAATGTTCTTTCTTTATGCTAATGGAGAAACATAAAAGATATACATTTAGAGAACTTTATCGGTTGATATTCATTCCAAAGCACAAATTGTTATCAATGTTGTATCCAGTGGTATCGCATCGTTGCTACTTCTTGGTGGCGTAACTGTTGATTCAAGTTTTTTACTGTCAATAATTGTGTATGAGAATTTCACATGCAACATCAACCAACAATATCCTCAAGAAGAATTGTTGATTAAAACAAAGTGTATTATATGGGACGAGGCCCTATGATGTACATGTATTGTTTTTAAGCACTTGAAAAAACTATGACATATATCCTTAACTCAGAAATGTCGTTCGACGGCAAGGAAGTTGTTCATGGAGAAAGATTTCAACAAATGTTACATGTTGTCTTGAAAGTTGTGTATGCTATAATCAATTCCTCTCTACCATGAAAACACTATAAGGTTTTGAAGTTGCACAAGAACATGAGACATTAATCGTGTTTTTCTTCCTCTAATGTCGATGACGTAAGAGAATTCGCAGAGTACATATTGATAATGTAAATATTAAGAATTAGTGATGGTGATACTGGAGAGGCGAATGATGGTGATGTTGCAATTGAAATTTCAAAGGACAAGCTAATTCGTGATTGAAAGATGCCTTTTACCGCTTGTGCAGTTTGTTAATCTCAATTCGTTGAGCAACATGTTCACTTTTGATTTCTGATTTCTTTTAAACCAAGGCAATTCTTGCACCAACTAATGATAGTGCCGAATTTGTAAATGATTGTCTGTTGTCGCTCACATCTGGAGAAGAGAAGATTTGTTTGAGCTATATATGATAGCATGTTTAAGGAGGAACTAATATCTTAATTGAACGCAAAAATATATTAAACGGAATTCCTTAATATTATCGAGAATTCCTTTTCATAAATTGAAGTTCAAGGTTGAAGATCAACTTTCTTATCATGCTCATTAAAAACATTAATCAAGCGAAAGTTTATGCGATGGAACTAGGCTACACGTTGCAAGATTGGACATACACATAATTAGCTACAAGAGACTTTTCGGCAAGAATGTTGGCGACATGGTATTTATTCTTCGGATGACTTTAATTCCGTCTGAACTGTACTGCCAACTATATTTCATAGACAATAATTTCCGGTGATTATTTCATTTGCCATGACAATCAACAAAAGGTAAGGCCAAACTCTCTCTCAACTAGCAACATCGTGTACAAAAGAAGTATTTCAGAGAATATGAAGATATACCGTAACAAACATCATTTATCAATTACATGCCCATGTTTTTCGTTACTTGTACGTACACATTTTGTGTATGCTAAGGTTTGTTTGCAATAAATAGTATTTTCCGCTTGGATATTCTATTATGTTGTTTTTTTGGGCAAGGTAATTAGTTACATCAACTTGAACTACACCTAATTAAATTCCCCATTCCAAATACTAGGTACCAAACTCCTTTGAACTCATTCGATCATTGGATTAAAAAATGCATGCATGGCTTTGTGAGTGAAGTCTTCAAGGAAATTATATTACAATAAGTGCACAAACATAGCCTCATTAATAAAATGTATATATATAATTATATAGTTGAATCTTTCTTCATGAGCTGCATAAGGAATGCAGACTCAATTTTAATCCTCTTCGAAACTCTACATATGGATACGCGATCGGCTGTTCGCCATCTTCTACTTTCCAACTGCAAAGACGAAATTAATTTTTATTTAAACATTAAAAAAAAAAAAGACACACACGCATATAAAACCTCGGATATGTTTTGTCGCAATGTATTAAGAGGAGAATTAAAATTAATTACCTATAATTTTGTATGAGGTGGTGTAGGAAAAAAGCAACCTCAACTTTTGCCAGTTCAAATCCTGGGCAGCATCTGGACCCTCCACCAAATGGGATAAACTTCTTGCATGTTTGATCTTCTGTCTATTTAATTCATTATATATATAAATAAATAAATAAAAATCTTTTAGTACCATGTACATAGTATATATTACAATAAACATCCTTAATTAGCTATGATAACAATGCAACTGCATCTATATATCGTGTTCATAATGAGTTCGATCGAGTTAGTTAAAGTGCATACTCGACCCATTTTCTTCCTATTCGAACTCGTTGCAAGCAATATTTTTTTTTAGTGAAATGTGAACTAGTTAATTAATTACCTGCCATCTCCAAGGATCAAACTGGAGAGAATTAGCATGAAGAGACGGGTCGAGATGAACCGCCGAGAAAACGGGTAGGACTTTCCAACCCGACGGAATTATATAATCTGGACCAAAACTATATATTAATTTCATATTATTAATTGGAAAATCCAGAAAAAGAAAAGTGTGGCCACTAAATTAAAAACATCATCCATGCATAATAATTGCATAAAAACATCTCTTTTGTGTGTATATATATATATATATATATATATATATATATATATATATAGGTTGTGGACCATGAAAGAAATTACTATATATACCTCTAAATTTGACATCTTTGATTGCCTTTCGGTGGACAAATTTAACAATGTTGCCTAATCTTAGAGCTTCATTTATGACCTGTGTTACAATGGTCCACACGATATTAAATATTAATCACATAATTAATTAATCAAAAAGGGAATATTCTAATAAAAAATAATAAAAACCAATTTCACAAATTATATCGAAAAATTGAAAAATAGAATAGAGTAAATAATTACAATTCTTACATTGTGTGTGAATTCCATTGCTTTATAGTCCTCCCAACTCAGAAATTCGTCCTTTTTCTTCGTGCTTCGTATTTTCCGATGCTCTCCCTACATATATCAATAACACGAAGAAAAAAAAATCATTGTTCCGAAATTTAAAAAAAAAATTACGTTCTCTTAATTAATTACGATTAGTGTCACCTTGAGTTGATCAACGGCGAGAGGGGAGCGATGAAGGAAAAAGACGGCCATAGACAAAAGAAGGGAAGTGGTTTCGTAGCCACCGAGTAAAGAATCCAACACGAAGCTAACTTTTTCGTCTTCGGATAAGGTTTCGACGCCGAGGAGTATATTGAGAAAATCATTATTACTCCAACTCTTTTTGCAAGAATTTATTTCATCATTTCTACCTCTTTTTCTTCTTTCTTCTATGATTGCTTTCACAGTTGAAGATATTCTACTTCTAGCCTGTAAAGAGATATATCATGAGGGCAAAATAATTAAAGCTAAGCACATGCTTGCTTACTTTTTTTTTTCTTTTTCGGCAAATAAAAAGCAAAGGGAAAATTACGGCCACCACCCTGAGTAAGGTTAAATACGAATAAAATACTCTTGTTTGGATAATTACAATCATTTGTCTTAACTAGTAATTTTCTTACACATCCACCATTACGGTGTTAAATTTAGGGGAATCTTCTAGATTATGTGGAATATTCTTCAATTTACATCTATTTTACCCCATTCGAGCTCCACATTTTGAAACAGGATGATCAGGATGTGTCTCTTTGACTTGTAAATATCAGATTGTGGTGCATAAGAAACTGCAATTTTGCACTAAACGAGTGCAAACTAGAGAACATTCTACGGCATCTAGAATATTATGTTGAATTTGACACCGTAAGGGTAGAAGTGTAAGAAGATTCGTAATTGAGGGGTGATTGTAATTACCCAAACAAGATGGGTCTTTTCGCAAGTTGACCTTACCTCAGGAGCTGGCTGTAATTTACCGAAAATCAAATTATATAATAGTGTTCTAACATATTAATTGATCTAGTATAAACCTTAACAGCTCTTGCATATGGAGTAAAAGGAATGTAGATTGGTAGAGAAATAAGGCCTCTCATGAAAGTCAAGAAATCTTCAAGTATTTCCTTTGTATGTGGCTCATTCGGTCTTAAACCAAGCACCTGCTTCACTATTACATTAAATGTGTACTGTCAAAAAAGAAAAAGAAAAAAAATAATTAATTAAATTAAATGGTTGAATTTCTACAATATTAATTGTTACATGGAATTAATTCTCAATTAACATGTGTATATTAATTTTTATCACGTACACCTAATTAAACAATTCCCGTCGATTTTGATCCAATAATTTTCAACTTTGGAGCATTTTCCTTTTTCATTCCGATTTCCAAAGTTTTAATTTATAGCAAAATCGAAATTACTTTTTTTTTTGTTCTTTTTTTTTAACTTCCGAAAAAAATTGGAATTTCCGAAACTGCTGACTCGGGTTTCTCCACCTCTAACACTAATATAATCAAGAATTCATGAAACTAAACTAAAAATTGGATTAGCGTATAAAATTTCCGAAACTGTTAATTCCGATTTCCGATCAACCATAATTACCTTTCTAATTAAGTACTCTAATTTAATTACCTTTCTAGCTTCCTCACAGAAGACAACTTGCTGCTTATCCCTCCAAGAACCAAGAATCCGGGTGGCGTTCGTCTCGATATCGACCAAGAAATCCGGCTTCAATTTGATGGTGGTGACGAGTGCGACGGCGACACTCCTCAGGCGGCGGTGGGTTTCTCCGGCAGCCACCAGCATGGAGCTCCTCCCCAATATTCCATGGATAGGTTTCGGATAGCTGCACTCGAACAACCTATCCTCGTTCTGCAATACGTAATAATTCAGTTCGCCGTCGCACGAAACCACCGTCGGAGAAAAGAACAAGTGTGATTTGAACACTTTCCCATACCTTGCTTGTAATAAAATTAAAACACCATTAGTAGTTATTATATTGCATGAAAAACACACACACACACACACACACACACACACACAAACACAAGACAAATTTTACCTAGTACAATGTTGTTGCAAGAAAGGGCCAATTGAAGTTGAAGAGTGAGGCTTTAAAAAATTAAGGGTTTCACCAAAAATAGGCCAACCAAAAGATCCTTTGGGGAGAGTGTAATTTTTGAAGAACAACAATAATATGGGCAAGAAATGGTGCAAAATAATAATCACTAACAAAAAAAATAACAAGGCAAAGGTAATCCAATATATTGCCATGGACATTAATTTATTTATGCTTTTTTATTTTCCTTTAAAAAAAATTGTTGGGAAAATATATAACTATTTATATCACAATGCACAATGAAAGGGAATTTTTGGTTATCCTTGACTGCATATATATAGGCAGGGGCGAAAGATCACATTCTCAATTAAACTATATAATATTCATACTTATTTATAGGTAAACTTCTGTAAATTATTATAGTTGGGACTTAGTAAAATTCTACTAATTTTAACGAAATATTAAATTATTGAACTAATAATTTAATATGTTTACACTAAATCGGGATAAAAAAAATTATTATTATTTAAGCAAAGTTATAAATTTATCGAATTTTATTTATTGAGATTCTACTGTACTTAGGCCGTCCAATCATGGACATTATACACACAAGAAAAGTTGAAAATTGATAATTGTAGTTTACACTAAATTATTTGTAAGTAATCATATTGTTTTCAATAACTGTAACGAATTTAATTTATTATATTTTTGGTTAAATGTTTATTTTATTTTAAATAGGGTAAATACACTTTGCAGTATCCTCATGTATACATGTATAGCATATGTAATACTTACCCCTTATAAAGTATCATTTATAACACTTACCTCTTCATCAATTATTCTATTTTTTAAAATTTAAAACATAATAAACTGACAATCTAATAATTATAGGATCATATAAAATTAAAGAATAACTAAAATTAAATTATTGAATAATAATTAAAAAATAACATATATTGTATAATAATGAGTAAAAATATATTCTAAGATATTAATAAATTTAAATACTTAAAATTATCATTAATTATGTATTGATTTCTTAAAATTTATCGATATGAATATACTAGATTAATTGACCAACAACAATTGGATGTTATATATTAAATATTTATCCAATGCACTAATATTTTTAAATTATAAATACTGTATTTTCAACAAATATTTTTAGCTGTATAATTTAATTATTCTTTCAGTTATTTTTCTCAATAAAAGAGGAAATTTTGAGGTAATTAAAATTTAAAAATACAAATTAAATTGTGTTTGAGGGAAGTAAGTTTTATAAATAATAAATGTTACACAGTGTGTATTTTAAGGATGCAAACTGAATTTAACACTTTTAAATAAAATATAATTCGGTCAATTGAAATTCTGACTCATGTGTAAGATACGATATGTATGCAAGAAAGGAATTAAATAGGGGATTGTTTTTACTGGTTATTACAGTCGGTGAAAATAAGCCTTATCAATAACATGGGAATTGAGATCAACCTAGACTAGGATCTAGACTTCTACAGGCAACAGGGGAGCAGGATGTTATAAATAAATTAATTTAATAACAAATAAATAAATATTATTTTTGCTATTAACTTGAATTAAGTAATGGGGTTAAGGAGTACTAATTAATTAGGTTCAGGTTTTTCATGCTTTCTGACATTATAAACGAGCCGAGCTCGAGTCGAGCTTGGTTGTATCGGCGAGCTCGAGCTTAAATCCATTTTGACAAGCTCAAATTCGAGCGATTCGAGCTTCATAAAATTAATGTATGACATGTATCTTATCAAATATTTGAAGTACATTAAAAAAAATACAATTCTTTGCAATTCAAGCTAGCTCTTACTTTTTTTCATTAGTGTGTCAGATACAAATATGTAGAGATGATGCACTTCTACATGTGTTCGCTTTAATTCACGGGTAGAAAAATAACTTTTCACCACTATACAAATATGTAGCATAAGATATCAAATCCGTGGTAGAAATTTTTTTGCTATAATTTTACTAAGAATTTTCTTCATATCGAATAGGGGTGTGACAAAAGTTTTGGTGCAGTGGCAGTGGCCGTAGCAAATGGTTTTTTGATACAGTAAATCCTAACATTTACTGCGATTCTCTGATTGGTGCGTAATAAAATGTACTTTTTGTAACGCTGATTTAATGTAGCAAAAATATTTGTACTAAAAAGTTATTTTTGTACCGGTGATTGTTAAAAAACGTCTCTTATTATGCACATTAATAAACACCCACTCTCATTCGATATAATTTTGTTTAGCAAATTACCCCTTAAAACCTCAATATTTGGGGGTTGTGTGCCAAAAATGCATCATAGATAGAATTTTGCTGATATAAATAACACGGTGAATTTGTTAGTTATTCAATACAACATAAGAACTCTAAATGCAATAAAACTCCAAATTTGTGAGAGAAGTGCAACCAGCGTCGACCATAGTACTAAACTATATTAGTCGGTTGAATGGTCAACAATATGGATGACTGATATGGTGAACTAAAGTAGTTACATTATTTTTTTTTTCCAGAAAGCATACTACTACCAATTAGTTTTATCTTACGATCGACTGAACTTTCAAGACATAGAACTATAAATTAGTCATCCCACTTAGTCGACTTTGATTAGTCGATAATATTTACTCGATCATTCTTGGAGCATTTAATCGACAATTCGTAGAGTACTCGAGTAGTCGACCATTCCCGAAGTGGGAGGACATAGTTCAAATGAAAACATTGTGAATAGTTTGGGTGGCATTAAACATTAAGAGAAAAAGGCTTAATCATAAAACTAAAGTGAATTTTTTTGTTATTTATATCTAATGAGAATTGATTTGAAGTGATTAATTTGTCTAATTGCCCCCATTTTATAACACATGTAAAATCATATGGTTGATATAAAAAGTTGCCTACATTTAAACCAAAAAAGCATGTTGCTTACAAAAGTGGCTAGTGGGAGTGAGTTTGTAGCCACTTTACATAAACATGTTGCAGCCATTTTAAGTGGTCAAATTAAGCCACTATACAATGATGAATCCTCCTCCACTTTATGTAATTAAGCACCATTGTCTCATCGTTAATCAAATCAAATCAAAACTAATTTAAGGGTAAATTACACCCACACTCCTGAGGTATGCTTAAATAACTTTAAGGTCCCTGTGGTATCGATAATTATATTCACCCCCTTGAAACGTAGTTATAAACTCTAATGGGATAATGCATTGGATACGTTATAACAATATAGTTCTAACGGACTATTGGTTTCAGGAAGTAGTGGAGACAACAAATTAAAGAGTTATGGATGATTTAAGAAATATTGGGGGAGCCATGTCACCCCATAACTCCCCATAATTCTATGTTATCTCCACCACTAGCTAAAAGTAATAGTCCATTAGAACCCTATCGGAATAATGTATCCAATGCATTATCCCGTTAGAGTTTATAACTACGTTTCAGGGGAGTGAGTGTAATTATCGATACCACAGAGACGTTAAAGATATTTAAGCATACCTCAGGGGTGTGAGTGTAATTATCGATACCACAGAGACGTTAAAGATATTTAAGCATACCTCAGGGATGTGAGTGTAATTTACCCTTAATTTAATTACTCGACATTAATTATGCTTCTTAACTGCGGCTATTACATTATTAATTACTACTTTGTTGATTGTGTCTCCTCGCTATTATCCACGTCTTCATAATAATATTAGGTCTGGTTGGAACTGAATATATATTAAAAATAATGTCAAGAAATAAATGACCAATAATTGCTCAAAAAATGGCAAAATTGGGATATATATTGTGCCCCGAAAAAATATTTGGCAATAACTAGAAGATAGGAATAGAGCAACTCATGACAATATTTTTGCATTATTTTTAATTCATGGTGGAATAAATAATAAAAAATGGATGGACTTAATAAATATATAGGTGTGATATGCTTAACTGGACCAATTCAATGGGCCTACAATTTCTTTATCTACTGAGTCACGAGCCCAATATTAAAGATGACTACAACCGAGACCCAACCATCTTCAAATAAAGTTTGAGACCGACAATCACAATCAAGTAATTTCAGCCCAACCAACTCGGTATAAATGAAGATTACAGCTCATGTGTTAAGGTACGTTCAATATTCGAACATACAACTACTCGTATTCTCTGTACGACTTTTGTAATCTACATGCTTGATTTGAGCGTTGGAGGAGTTTTCTCTGAATCAACCCCCGCCTTAGTTTACATGTTCTCTGTTCACAGGTATCTCAAATATCATCAAGCTCGTGAGCCAGTGATCCACTGTTCTTCCAGCTTATCATACTTCAACTACTTAAGGTGACCTATCTTTAGCATCATCAAGGTGTAATATAGTGGATTTTTTTTTGAGATTATATTGAAGGTCGACCTGAGTCCATCCTTACCCAAGGGTGGACTCACATTTATTTCCAAGTCACAATCCCTGACTTCCTTATCTTATGTGTTAGAGGGTGTTTAGCTAAACTTATAAGATGTTAACAGGATATTATAAGATGTTTTAGAGCTAATAAACTCTTCCAAAATATGAGGTAAATTTAAAAAAAAAAATGTTAATTTTTTTTTTCAAAATAAGCTGTTAGAGAACAAATAAAATCTTTTAAAAAAAATACATCCATCCCACCTTTTTATTTAAGATCTTATAATGAATAACAATAGGAAATAAGCTAATTTCAAACACTCTAAAAATTAATCCTAGAAATAAGATGTAAAATCTTATCAGCTCTTAAAACATCTTATCAGACGTAAGAGCTTATCAGCTATTTAAATTAAGTTTAGCTCGTTTATTACTTTCATTTATCTTTTTCCAATTAAAATTAAAAATATTTATAAAAGCAATAAATTATATATAAATATAAAATATTGAAAAATAAAAATAAAAATTGAGAGGTTCATGCAATCTTTGGCCCTATGCTGACTTTTCCACTGCTCGTTAGTAAGTGCGATATAGTGTAACGGCCCGAATACTTATTTAATAGTTTTATTTGGTGTCGTTGCTCTTTCCGCAACGCAAAAGTCTTCTTCTCTTTTAGGATATTTTCACTATTATGATCATATATAAATTTTAAAAAAATATATGATTATTTTCTTCTGAAAAATTATAACCGGTACTGTTGCCAACTTTATGATAAATCGTTAGGTTCTAACTTTATTAGCATGTCGTCAACTATAAAGCAAAATATATAAGAAATTATTATGATATATATATAGTATGCAATGTTCTTTTTTATTTTTTATTATTATTTTCTTGTAATCAGAAATGATATTAGCATGTTCAAGGCTTATTAAAAGTTCATTTCTCAATCCTTGATTATGATAATAATTTGCACAATTGTGCTTTTGGGTCAAGAGCCTATA